CTCCTAGATTATGGTTGAAGAAGAGACAAAGCAATGATACTAGAATCATTAAGCTGCCAGTATTTGAAATATGAGGTAGTTGTGAAGCTGTGGCAATGACAAAGCATTTTGTGAAGTGAACCCGTCATTTAACAAAGTAAAATCCCACTCTGGTTGATTAATGCCTGAACGCATGGTCGACCTACAGAGGATTATCTAACCAAATGTAAAAAAGGCTGAATCCTGCTGTCGTCTGTACATGTGAGTCAGTAGTTTTAAAGCAATCATGGAAACACTCTCTTTCTCTCACTCTCACACTCTTTTGGACTCTAAATCCAAAGGGTGGTGGTTAGGTTATAGATTGCGCCAACATGGGTTTTGGTGCCCTGTATAGTTGCAAAGTTTTTATCCAAATGTATCCTTTTCCAGGTAATCAGTTTAGAAAGATGATCAAGCTTTGCCATCTGCATGGATTTAGAAAATGCTTGTGAATGAAGACTTTACCTTGATTTATGGTTCCCTCATCGTATACTCTCAACATTACACAAACTAATCACTCACATTAGAGGCTTCTCTAATGCATTTTTGGTCCCTGTCACAATACGCAAAGCCTATTTAAGGGAAAAAGAGGTATGCTGTTAGTCCATCTAAACTGGATAAAACTGTTCCAGTAATTGGAACTCTTCCCAGTCCCTACATCCTTTAAAGTCAAGGAAACTATCCAATTTGGTAAATTTAGTGGTACTTTCTTTAGTGCAATGTCCACTATTGGTGCAGTGGTTTCACATTAAAATCAGTGATTTATCCTTGTATCTTTTAGAAGACCCACACCTTAATATGTCCCGTACATGAAATATTTTGATACTGGCAAAAGAAGTAATTATGCCATAGTGCACTGTGGGGAAAACACTTGCATAGCACCCTGAATGTATGGTGCTATCTGTCACCACTGTGTAATGTTGTTATGCATTATTATGCTATGCTATGATTGTTTCTACAGAACTCTAAAGTGCTTCTCTGCTGATTCAGTCTGCTTACCTGAAGTTTAATTAATTGAGTCCATACAGCATTGTGAAAAAGTTATTTCCAAAAAAAATGTATTTTTTAACAAATTCATTTTAATGTTTAATGTATATTTAATTTCGATTGCCATTTCAACAAAACTGATAAAGGTCCTCAAATATAAAACATTACAGTGAAATGTGGTTTCCCAGTGGCTTTAAATGTACTGTATTTAACACTGGATTATGTCTCAAATTGGAGTGAGGTGCTGTGAAAGAATAAATATTACAAATCCCATCCTCATGAGCCCAGGACTAATGATACAGAACCTCATTCTAAAGGTAAAGGATGGTGCATGGATGACTTTACACTGCCTCAGTGGTTTGCTTTAGAGTCAATGAGAGTGTAAATGAGATGACGGGTATGATGACCATCAAACATCACTCTGATGAAGATGATCTGTAAGGAGTGGATAAATCCTATCAATACCAGCTCCTGAAGCTAGAGGGCACAGCTAGTTTTGCCTCCGCAGACCAATGCATGCCTTTTTGAACTCTTGATTACACAGAATATCATTATTTATTAGATCACCTCCATCTTTGTTTAAATAGAGATTAAATATCAATTCTTGGAAGTCTAGAAATAGGTTCATATACATATTGAACCATAATAAGGCTAGAAGATGAATCTGGCTCACTTTTTACTTGGTTAACAGTAATATAGTTAAATATATTTGATGAAACAAATGATGGAAGAACACTTAATTCATGATTATTGATTAATTCATAAGTGTTTATAAAGTTATGTATTACATTATTTGTGTTGTTTTTTGTTAAAAAAAATATTATGGAGCAAGCAAAATAATTGATTCCAGACATTGTTGAAAATGTATGCACCCCTGAGGTCTAATGCTTCATTTTGTAGCAGCATACCAGCTTTTGGGTGAGTTATTCCCAATGATCTATGACTTAATATAGATTTCAGTGATTATTCCTCATAAGGAATAAAACCGTGCTGATATTCAGACCAACAGCATGATTGTGAGTGTGATATTGCTTTTATACAACAGTTCGAAACACCATTCGTTAATATTGAGTTACTCTGGGTATTTTTGCTCTCCCTACAAAAATCAACAACTGTAAATTGTAGTAAATAGAATAAAAAGTAAAGTAACCTGTATATACAAATAAAAACAAGAGAGGAGATTCTTAAATCATTTTGAATCATCTTGATGCAAAGTATTAAACGGCAAACTCATGTCAATATGTATTACATTATTTGTGTTGTTTTTTGTTAAAAAAAATATTATGGAGCAAGCAAAATAATTGATTCCAGACATTGTTGAAAATGTATGCACCCCTGAGGTCTAATGCTTCATTTTGTAGCAGCATACCAGCTTTTGGGTGAGTTATTCCCAATGATCTATGACTTAATATAGATTTCAGTGATTATTCCTCATAAGGAATAAAACCGTGCTGATATTCAGACCAACAGCATGATTGTGAGTGTGATATTGCTTTTATACAACAGTTCGAAACACCATTCGTTAATATTGAGTTACTCTGGGTATTTTTGCTCTCCCTACAAAAATCAACAACTGTAAATTGTAGTAAATAGAATAAAAAGTAAAGTAACCTATATATACAAATAAAAACAAGAGAGGAGATTCTTAAATCATTTTGAATCATCTTGATGCAAAGTATTAAACGGCAAACTCATGTCAAAGAGAGAGAGAGTTAAGTGGGTTAACTTGTAGGGATTAATTGTGCATCACAAGAATATTAATGTGCGCTAAATAGTGTCCATTTTTTATTTCACATAGTCCTTTTATGTTCAAGCAGCACACAAAAGCTTCAGTGTTTTTGAATGAATCGCTTAAAGGGATAGTTCACCCAAAAATGAAAATTCTCTCATTAATTATTCACCCTCACGTTGTTTCAACCCCGTAAGTCCGTAAGAAAAAAAACCAGAATACGCTGTTTACATCCAGCGGATATTCTCCAAACTGGCGCTACAGGGTGACGTGGAGGAGACGAATTGTTGAATAAAGTCGTTTTTTTGTCTTTCGCACACAAAAAGTATTCTCATAGCTTCGTATAATTACGGTTGAACCCCTGATGTCACGTGGATTATTTTACTCCTTGCTACGTTTCTGGACTTGGGAACATTTCAGTTGTGTTGCTGTCTATGGAGGGTCAGAGAGCTCTCGGATTTAATCAGAAAAATCTTAATTTGTGTTCCGAAGATGAACGAAGGTCTTACGGGTTTGGAACGACATGAGGGTGAGTAATTAATGACAGACTTTTCATTTTTGGGTGAACTAACACTTTAAGTGAATGATACAATGACTCACTTGCCGCCACCTACTGGAGTCACGGTGACTGCAGCAGATACATCACTAATAACAGTGCGTCACAGTGGACAAGCCAAAGTATACTGCTTCAGAGCATTTGTTTTTCCGAAAAATAGGATTTGTAACAAACCTCACATTTATATCTTTTCGTTTAATTATTAGTAATTTTTATGTTATGCGTGACAAAACATCACAATTGTACAACAGTAAGAAAAACTGTAACTGTGGCATTTGTAAGTATTTGTAAATATGTTAATTGGGTTGAAACGATGGTTATAGGCTATTTTTGTTTGGGGAGTTTTTCCCCACTATTAAAATGTTACAACTGAACGCTTCTTTTCTCAGTGCTGTGTGTGTGTGTGTGTGTGTGAGAGAGAGTGTGT